AACCAAGAAACTTCTAGCTATGAGGGACATTGCTACCCACTTGAAAATATCCACATCCACATGAAAATATTCTCTAATGTATTTGTTCTGTTCAAGTACTTAATAAAAACGTTAAACACCAGACAGCTGATTCATTGTAGAAAATTGAAATTGTAATTCTAATTGAACAATCAAACTGAAACTGATGATTTTGTTTCATTTTTACTACTTGATATCACTGATATCAGCCATTGGTATCATGAATGCAATTTAATGTAAATTGATATAATTGACCGTGATGTGCAGGGCCGGAGTTGGAGTCTTTTTCAGCCCTGGAGTTTCAAGCCTTAGACCGGCCCACCTCAGTTCACCGCTGACTATATTAAAATAAGGTCATTTCAAATTCAGTTTCTAATTAGAGTATCACGTCTTTTTTGAGAAAACAGCTGTTTTAGAACTTCAAATGTTCAACAACCCTAACATTATTATATGTCTTAACAATAAAAATGAAAAAAAAAAGTTACTTAAACGAGGACCGAACCCGGGTTGGCAGCGTCATAACCCAACGTGCTAACCACTGTACCACAACAGCTGAACATTGAATGGTGACTTATCTAGTTCTATCAAGAGGCTAAAAAGATATAAAAAGAGCAGGGCTGCGGTAAAATAATGAATAAGAAGGCTGTGGTCAAGTAAATAAATAAATTATTTTTAAAAAGTGTGACTGCTGAGAGCAAGGGACACCGGCCGTCGCGGCCAAAAAACAGACCGGCCCGGATCGGTCCTCCCGATTAGCCAATCCGGGCCTGGTGATGTGATTAGACTACTAAACTGCAGAGCAGTAAACATTCACATAGACAAGATCACATGCTTTCTTAGTTGCTGTTTTCATAACTCCATACTTTAATTTGTGTTTTAGGTACACAAAACTGCTGCTCAATTATTTCAAAATTCTTCTTTTTTTATCCCTAACAAAGAAAAACAAATAAGAGAACTTTGCCTATATCTTATTCCTAATGCACTGCCAGTTACTGACCAATAATGCCAATCATCAGATTATAGTACGCCACTTCTCAGACATTCCACAACTCAATAAACAAGTGCCAACCAACACCAAAAGACACTGGTGGAGTGCTTGGATCTGACGAAGCAACATTACACTTGACTTGCTGTTGGTTGAGATCTGTTAAATTGAATTTTAGGGACTAACAAGTAAATGATAATATTCTACTTGCTATTTATACAGTGCTAGTACACCCAAATTAATATGTTATAAAAAATATTAATTAAAAAATTTTAAAAAGAGGAAAAATTAATAAAAGAAAACTTAAAAATTTTGTTGAAATTTTGCAGGTTGTCATTTTTTTTCTAATATTTAAATTGTATTATCTTTTCATTTCTAAATATGTTTGGTGACAAAAATATGATTTTGATAACTGTTTAATAATTTTTTTTCTTTAAATAGACTAAAATATGTTGCCTATATTCACTAAGAAATTAATACAAATATTCATTTTCAAAATGGACTGTTCTTAATTATGCTGAGCACTGTAGATTGTCATTTCAAGGTAATTGTAAATTCTGTTATAGCCGTAAATTTGTAATTATCTCATTAAAATTAGGGCTGCATGATATTGGAAAAATCTGACATCGCAACATTTTTATTTTTCTGCGTTACACATTGCAATATAATGCATCTACACAACTTCACCAAATGATTGAATAGCACTACTTTAAAAGAATTTATAGTCACACTTTATTTTAAGGCTCACTTCCTGCTTTTGGTCAACCGTAAACTACTGTATGACTTTTGCTTCAAAACACTTCTAATTTGTTCCTAATAATAGTTATTAAGGTAGCTTAGGGTTGTTATTGGGTATTGGGTTAGGTTTTGTAATTGTTAAAATTATGCTTCAAATATATAAATAACGTAATAAAAAATTTTTTTTAATAAACTTCCAATTGGGGGGTGTGGCGCGGCGGCACAGTGGGTAGCACTGTCACCTCACAGCAAGAAGGTCACTGGTTCGAGCCTCGGCTGGGTCAGTTGGCATTTCTGTGTGGAGTTTGCATGTTCTCCCTGTGCTTTTGTGGGTTTCCTCCAAGTGCTTCGGTTTCCCCTACAGTTCAAAGACATGCGCTTTAGGTGAATTGGGTTAGGGTAAGCTAAATTGGCCGTAGTGTATGTGTGTGAATTAATGTAAATGGGTGTTTCCCAGGGATGGGTTGCAGATGGAAGAGCATCTGCTGCATAAAACATATGCTGGATAAGCTGGCGGTTCATTCTGCTGTTGAGACCCCTGATTAATAAAGAGACTAAGCCAAAAAGAAAATTAAAGAATGAGTAAAGTTCCAATTGATAAATTGTCTTGTGTCTGAATACCTAAATCTCTCTCAGGCCTTAAAAACATGCAAATGATACAATTTCACTCTATTATGGTTAAACAGTAACTCCACAATAATTCCACAAAACTTGTGTTCTGAACTGTGACTCTTGCTCAAATATAATCCAAACTCAACATTGCATATCTACAGTATGCGATGTGACTATTGTGGATGCACACATTGCGCTATCGATGGTAAAACAATATATCGTGCAGCCCTAATTATAATGATCAAATTTATTGACTGATTCAGTACACTTGACATAAGGCATGTGAACATAGTAGGTATGCATTATTGGACTATGGAGTAAAGGGTGGTAAGCCAATCATAGTGGTGAAGTTTTTTATTTCAAGAATCATCCAACTGAAAATGTTATTATTAGTCAGTAACATTGAAATGAAGGCATCCCTTCCTCTAAGAATATACTTTGAATGTATTTTGCACATTCACAAAACTTCATTAACCTAAACATGATAGGCTTAAGGATTACAGAGAAATAACTGCAGCTGCACACTGCACGGGCTGTCAGAAAATGTTGCTTTAAAGTAATGAATGCTATATGATCTCATCTTACATAACATTGTTTTATTTTTGTACCTGCAATTATCTTTTCATCCATTTTCCCTTTAGCTGAGAAAGTGGCCCCGACGGGCAGGCATACTAAATAAACAATAAAAGCTGCATGCACAAAGACAAGTAGACAGAACGCAATACTCAAGACCAAATGTCCCAGTCTTCCTGCTGTGAGAAGTTCTTTACATGCTAGCAATAATTTCTTGCCATATGTTTTCAGCAACACTAAATAACCAAATACGCACTGCTTTTGCTTCTAAAAGCTTTACACTTCAATGTAGAGCCATTTCAAGATTTAAACAATTACAAAATTATAAAACTTGAAAATAAAATCATGTGAAACTGTGGACAGTGATTAGTGACTGTAAAACTGTGGACAGTGATTCATTGGCACATTATAGGGACTCTCATTAAATAGCATACATGCTTTTCTTACACAATACTTAAACGATCTAAAACTATCCAAATGTGCATAATACATAACAAGTATATAATTATAGCAGCATCACTGCCAGAATAAAACATACTGCGAACAGCTAATGCGTAACAATATTTACACACAAGAGAGACCATATACCTCTCAGTGGACTTCTAAACAGATTGTCTGCCAAGGAAAATCTAGGTAGCCAATTACACGCAGAGCAAAATCAAGCTCAATTTTGTTACCTAACCAGTAAAACAGTGGGAGATAAATAAGGCCATACAGTCTGAAACATATAATAAATTGGTCTTATTTACTGTTCAAGGACTGTAATTGTTTGTAAAAGCATTCAAAGCATTTTCTCGCTTATAGGAACAGAGGGTTGCTGAATCTTATAAAAGATTTAATGGTAAGCAACACTTGAGCAAAACACAATATCATTTAACAGTAGCAACTAGTGGTGCAACAAATCGCAAATCTCACGGTTCGAATGATGTTATGGTTTTTTAGTCATGGATCGGACCATTTTTCGAATCAGCCAAAAATGGGAGGAGACAAATGCCATTGGCTTTCATTTATTACAAAAACAGTACTGCAAGACAATTTTGGTTTTACCAAACAGCACTTAGAACCTGTAATTTTACTAAAAAATAAAATGAAGAAATAATCTGCTAAATAAAAATTCACTGTTACTACAATTGTTGCTAATGATCACTATTCACCATTTTTGGTTAAACAACGTTATTTTGTTCTACAACTTTAATTTTTGAGCATATGAGGGTGATTTAAATCTTTACCATAAATATCACTAGTTTTATTAAAACTATAAACTGTTTTCTCATTACTTCTGTGTTATTTGACTTCATAACTAACTGAAAACACTAAAGAAAATTTCTGAGTTTTTCAGATTTGAATGCAGCAAATTGAAGGATTAATAAACATATGCAAATCGCCATCATTTATAATTTATGTTGCGTGGGTGTTGAGATCCCGATCTTTTAATGAATAATCGTGCAGCTTGAATGCATTATCACAGGCTAAACGAGTAGATACAGAAAATACCTGTAACCTAAGAAACCCACCACCACATCCCGAATAATACCACCACTTCTTCCGTCATCATTACTTTTACATACATGTGATTTGAATGACACGAGAGGTGATCTCTCTGCATTCATTCATTCATTTTCTTTTCAGCTTAGTCCCTTTATTAATCTGGGGTCCCCACAGCAGAATGAACCATCAATTTATCCAGCACATGTTTTACGCAGCGGATGCCCTTCCAGCTGCAACTCATCTCTGGGAAACATCCATACGCACTCATAAACTATTGGAAATTTAGCCTACCCAATTCACCTGTACCACATGTCTTTAGACTGTGGGGGAACCCGGAGCACCTGGAAGAAACCCACGCGAAAGCAGGGAGAACATGCAAACTCCACACAGAAACGCCAACTGACCTAGCCGAGACTTGAACCAGCGACCTACTTGCTTTGAGGCGACAGCACTACCTACTGCAACACTGCGTCGCCCTGATCTCTAGTGATCTGTACAAATCACGGATCAAACATGATTCATTACAACCCTACCTGACAACTGTTTGTTACACAAAAACAAAGAAAATGAACCCATGTCATCTTACCTGATGTTCGTTTTACTCCAGTTGAGCAAGACTCCATCAACAAGCTTCCAGCTGTCATTAAGTTTCTAGCAGCACACTGAACTTCACCAACACTCCTTTGGGCTGTCATTTGACTAAATGAAGTGCTAGCAAGATTGCTGTTCCTCAGGAAAGTGTGATGTTGGATGCTTCTGTCAACTGGCGGGGGTGATGGTTGATCTTCATCAATTTCATCCTCATCCTCCTGGTATCCTGTTCCACCTTCCTGGATTGAGCCTCTGTTCTTCGACTCTACCTGAACACTCTCTCTCCACCTCCATGGCTGCCGATGCTCTGCCCACCTCACTTTTGAAATTGGTCTTAGGTGCGCAGGTCCGATATATGAAAGCGGTGAAGTTTTGTGTTTGTCAGCTTGTTTTGAGGGTGCTGAGGTAGAGCATTGGTAATCTGTTGACAGACCTAGTCCCCTTCTGAAATGGTCTTTTCTAGGGTTACTTCGTCCAAGCAAACCGCCTAGTCCTTCTCTTTCTCTAAACCTATCATCCACAAATCTTTTATCTCTACCTTGCTCTCTGTCATCTTCTCTTTGCCAGCTATTTCTACTGAACCAGTCACTAGAGGAATGAGATGTTAGATTAGTGTAAGTCCCATGTGGCTTCCCATGACAAACTTCAGATTCACGCCTTAGAAATTTGTGCTTCCTTTTATGGAACTTTGATGGGCTTAAAATTGGATTTTTGGAGTAGGGATGTACATATGAGGGTAAAAATGGTGATGAGGGGTAAATAGTTGCAGATGGAGGGTATCCTCTATAGAGTCCAAAACCAAACGAAGTGGTAGGAAGAGGCATTTTGTAGGGCGAGTGGTAACAACCACCTGCTGACAGTGGGAAGCCAAGTTTATGTACTACTGGACAATGAGTGACAATATGTTCACCTGGTTGTGAGGGGCAGCCATTGTTCCTTTTAAAATCTGCCAAGCCAACATAATGCAGAGAGTCACGAGAAAATTCTGACTGAGGAGAGTAGTAACCACTGAAGTTGATTTGAAACATAGTTGGATGGTGAAGGTTTTGCGGCAGACACTTTAGAACGTGAGGGTGAGCTTTGCCCTTCCCACTCTTTCTTCCTGATTTTGCTTCATCCCCACAACCCCGAGATGAAAGATGATGCACAATATGAATTTCACTAAGCCTGACCACTAACTCCTCAACCTCTGCCAGAAATGCTGGGTCTTGCCGTTTGGCCCTGAGTTGAAGATACTTTTTCTTGCATTTGTGTTTATGTCTCCTAATCTTATCGTGGCTAAAGCAATTATGTCCTTTTCTATGACACTTGTATTTGAGCCTTTCTTGCTCCATCAGGACTGATCGTGCAAGGTGTGTTGCTCTGTGATTTTGAATCCTTACAGAACCTAACTGTGATGTGGCTGAAGGGCAAGGTGCTGGCTGTGAAGAGGTGGGATGTTTAGATTTCTCTTCAGGCAATGCTTTAAACTTTTGGGAATTTGTTACCTTTGGAGAAGAATGTTGATCATATTTACGGTTGCCAGGATAAAGTTTTCTCCGGAAAGAACTAATACTAGAAGAAGAGGGTTTGAGTTGTTTAAATGAATAGGGGGAGTTGTGCAAAGCAGTTTGGCCATCAAATGAATGACTCTGTTCACCAGAGGTGGACCAATTTAACTGATTTGAAGATTCTGTTGAGACTTGCGGAGTCTTTGGACTCTGAACTTGGTCCGAGTCTTGGCCAAAAGTTTCCCTTTGAGCTTTAGGTTTACGACCTCTTCTTTTTCCTATGTAGATTGTCCCACGTTTGCTGACGTTAATTTGAGGACCAAGTTTCCCCCCAAAAGATGTAACAAGTGAGGATAAAGATTGTGCACTTTCGGACACTGAACATTCGGCATCCCCTTTATTGTCTTTTTGAGCCAAATCAGTTGTGCAAGTTTGGCTTTGCCCTGATAGAAACTGCGTGAGTACTTTATCTTTCCTCTTCACTCTCATTTTGTTGATATTTTTGATAATTGACCTCATTATTAACCTATTTCGTTTGCGGCAGATTTGTGCATCTCTAGCTCTGGACACTGAAGGTTTGAGTTTTCCTTCAGCACCTGTCTTTCCTGATGCTAAGTGTAGTGATTTAGATTTTTTAGTCTGAGCAGACAGGGAACATTTTGGATGGCTTTGTATTTTGGGTGTTGGATTTGGGAGTTTCAAGCCATCTTCTGGCCTAGGGACATTTGAGTGCTCAAGTATAGAGAACTTAGTAGAAGACTGCTGAGACTTACTTCCCTGAGGAGACTCATCCATCCTAGTTATTTTTGGTCGACCCCTTCTCTTAGTAGGGACCTCAATGAACGCGCTTTCTGATCTTGGGGATGTTTTTTGTAGTTCTTTTGATTTAAGAGGTTGTCTGACTGGGTCTTGTTTACCCTGCTTTGATGGCAATTTCTTCAAGGACTTCATGGAAAGATCTCTTTTACCTTTTGATTTTTGAGGTATAATTTTACAGGCAGTGGGATTAACATTAGAAGCTCCCAAATCCATATTCTCCCCCTGATTTACTATATTTGAAATCTGAACAGATTTTTGTGTCCTTTGTGAAATGGTGTCTTGTTTGGGGTGTAAGGGTGGCTCTTCACTTTGAGCAGAACTGTTAAACTGAGAATCTGCACAGCTGGGAGTTCGAGGGGAACATTTCACATTTTCTTCCTGATTTGAACTACGCCTAGTTCTTTTCTTTTTCTTTTCAATGACATGCCCCTCTCTGCTGACATCTTTTGACTGCACAGCAACAGTTTGAGCCGGTTCCATAGTCACTTTTTGGGAGTCATCTATGACTTCACTTCCACTGTGCTTCTTGCACCTTTCTCTGTTCTCCGGTAACTCTGGTACACTAGTGCTGTTCTCAGAAGTTGCTGATTCTGCAGATTTATCTGTGGCAGGAGGAAGCAATGGTGCATTGACAGAGGGACTAGGCTGATGCAGTAAACCATTTTCTCTACTCCTATTGTTAGTATTGTTGCTAGACATGTTTTTGGAAGATGCATAATCACCATCCTCTTTCTCATTTGCAATCAAAACCCTGTCAACATTTGTCTCCCGTGTTCTAGAAGTCTTTTTTGGAGGACGGAGAGTTTGCCTTAGAGAATTCTCACTACATCTTTTTGGAGATGACTTGCTTTCATGGTGAGTTTCAAGGCTGGAAGAAGACTGCTGAGATATCTGAGTGTTCTGTGTCATATTCTTTGAGCTATCTGAACTAGGGGAGGAGGTCATTGCTTCCTCAGTCGGGAGATCATCACTCTTTTCTTTTTGAGCATTTAAAACTTGTGTGCTGTCTTGTAGACTGGAGTTTTGTTGTAATGAGGAAGGCGGCGAAGGTGCAGCTGGAGGGGAATGCGTCTGCTTCAAAAAGGTGGAGGAGGTTATTTTATCTGAAAGTGGTACTTTGCTATCTGTCTGTGGTTGAACTGCTAATGAAGGGCCATCTGATGTTAATAATGACTTTGACTCGGTCTTCCTTGTGTTTTTTGATGGAGCCTGTTGGAAGAAAGGACATGTGCTGACCAGAATTCATCAGGAAATGTTTGAAAATATTAAGGTCACTCTAGGTTATCCGGTTAGATGAATTTGAAGGCAGCATGATATATCAAACCTGAAAGGCTTCATTAGATACTTTAAATTACTTTCAGTGATATTTTATAATATAATACTCATGGTAAAAAAAATACTTTTTATTAATATATTTTGGTAACCATTCCATAGTATTACTGTATGATCTAAAGAGTTTACAAGAATTTTTGAATAAGACCGAAGAATATGGCATATGACACTTAAGCAAAAAATAAAATCACTGGGAGAAATATATTTAGCTGTAAGCCTTCCAGTGCCTTTTTGATGATCATAAGAGGCAACAAAAAAGAATAGCGAATTGCAGATGAAAAACTTTCAACTGAATATTTTCAGTCTTTGGAGACCAGGACAAAAAGCAAAAGTGACAGTAATGGAAAAAGTTATAAAAAAGAGAGATAGAGAAAATGATATTTTTATAAATTGAGGGAATGTAAAAATAGATAAAAAATGTCTAAATAATACTGGTGGCTAAACAGAAAAGATACAGATAGAAATATTAACCAACACTTACCTTTTTAGATGCAGCAATGGCTGGTGTAGAGTCCCCTTTTTTGGAAGTGGGAAGGACTTTTTTGGAACCTTTTGTAGAAAGGCAATCTTTTTTCTGAACATCTCGATGTGACTTCTTGGCCAATCTGGAGTCAGAATCTGAGACTTCACCCACACTTGAACTATGGCCATCTCCATGGGAAAGCCTCTGAGAGATCCTGATTGTGGGCCTGCATATGAAGTTCTCAAGACTTTTTGGGGGCTTTTTTGTCCGTTTGGCTCCAACTCCTATTTTCAATCTTACATTTCCATCGGACTGATCGCACTTTGTATCTGTTAACTCCTCTGACCTATTCAGCTGCTGCATAAACTCACTGTTATTAGTCTTTGAGGATGCTTCTGGTTCAGCCCTTTTGGATTGTCTTGTTCTTTTCCTGTCATCTGTCAAGTCTTCTTTCTCTAGTCTTGGGGCAGGTGTTGTCTTTTTCTTTTTCTTATCCATCTGAACTTTCAGAGTAGTAGTTGTGAATGAGAGAATTACTTTGACTATTATCAAAGTATTGTCAGTAGTTTTCAGTTTATGAGAAAAGGAAATGTTGTGTTTTTCAGTCTTATTAATACTCTTCTGTCATCTCATTTAACTTGAAATAGTTACTGTGGAAGGGGCTATAAAGTAAAAAAAAGAATAATAGGGACATTAGTCACAGTTTACTCACAGTGTATCACATAACATGACACATCATTAAAACATTTCATCAGAAAACCTCAGAACAAAGTGCAAAGATTAGACAGGCATGCTGTTCGGCAGAAAAAAGAGCACTTTTCAACATTTACCCAGATCAAAACACATATCAAGCTTAAGAGTCTGCAACTTTAATCTCCACTGTCCAGTTACCTGAGCTATTGCTATGACTGACTGGTTCAAATATTTGGTGCTCAATTTAGGTCATGGATTACTAAAGCATGTGCAGCTGGCTCTGAATATGCCGATTCAGATGCTAATGGAATCTGTTATTGAGTCCTGCCGTGTGACATGCTTTACTCTCTAAGACATAAAATTCATTTGTCACAGCACAATATTAGTGAACAAAAACAAAGAAAAAGCTTACTCATTTAGGAATTATTTTAAATGTTATATGTGTTGATATGCTATGTTTTCTGTTCTGTTTGTGGCTCAAAATGTCAGAACCACTAGATACAAAATATTTCAAGTGTAGCATTTTTACTCTGATTTAGCAGAGACTCAGAGTAAAGAACATTTTGTTCACCAAACTGTCAACACTTGTTCTCAGACAGAAAATGCAAAAATGGTGACAGATAGTGTATTGTGGTAACGAGATTGGGACCCCCACAGGGGGACTTAAAATGATGCTTTAAAAAACAAAAAATCAAAACAAGCATTAAAATAATATAGCACGACCTTTTCTATTATTTAAAGGGCAACTATACTGAAATTCATCTTTTGTAAGCTGTTTGGACAAAACTGTGCGGAGGTATAGTGTGTCCACAGTCATATTGGAGTGATAGAAACAAATTAGGTGTTTCTTTAAATTTCCTGACTTTAAAATAGGATCCAAATCCCTCCCATTTTGAGGACCACCACAACGTGCCATAGTAGGCGTCATAGACGGGCACGCGCGTGTTCTCGGCAATGTTGCCAGATTAGGCGGTTTCCCGCCCTATTGAAGTTTTGAATTTATTTTTGGGGGTAAAAAGTGACGTAGGCGGTAGTGTAAAATTGGGTGGTTTTGTAACGGCGTGCTCACCAGCCCTGGGGCCTCATGTATCAACGCTGCGTACGCACAAAAACTTTGCGTACGCCAGGTTTCACGCTCAGAATCGCTCACGTTTGGATTTACTAACAATGAACTGAACGTGGGAATGTGCGCAGGTTCACGGCAGCTTTCTGGCAGGCGTACGCACATTTTTTGTGCGTGTCTGTTTTATTTCCATTGGCGACTCCTAGAGGCAGTTGTGTTAAATTCTTCTCTACAAAGTGTCTGATCCTTGCAATGGCAGCTGTATGAGACGGGTTCATATAGTAGGTATGTAAGATTTCCATACCATACAGTTGACCAGCTAAACATTAAAGCGCAAATTGCAGCAGTCGCAATGTAATCTGAGCAATCTACCGCACACACATTGCTATAAAGACACTATCTGAAGATGAATTTGCATGCGTGAATCAGAAACATTTCCATTCAATAAATGTGCAAATAAAATATGATGCACAAACTTATTGATGATTCCTACTTGTCTTTCTCTTGATAAATAGTGGGCAAAATCTGATATGTAGCGGGGGAAAAAAGAATAAAGAATTTATCAGACGCTGGATTCGAGCCGAGTTGACGCTCGAATATGTCTGAACATGACCTCATGCTTCTTATGAGGTGCGCCATTGAGACCGCTTAGGGTGCTGCAACATTTTTCAGTTATAAACCACACTATTTCTTTTTTAAATGCACTCAGTGCGATGTTCAGACCCAACTGTGTTAACCGTATCAGCTAAACTCTCCCACTCTATTTTTTTCTTTTGTTGTTAATTCCGGAGAACAAACTTGCAAATAACACCGCTTTTCTCCGGTCTACCTCCGAAAGCAGCACCTCCATTTCACATTCTGTTCAAAGTTTCTCTTTTTGCTTGATTTTGCCGTTGCTTTTTCGTTGGGTTTTTCCATTAGCATAGTCATTAGCATATTCATACGGGGGAGGAGGCAGGGAGGGGTTTTGTGCTCGTGCATGTTGCGCTCAGTTTCACGTTCATTCAGATGTACAAAAGAATATGCGTGAGATTCGGCGTACGCAGTGTTTCATACATCTGAATTTTTTTCTGCGTACGCACATTTACAGCTTCGTGCGTACGCAATGTTTTAGTAAGATTTCCACGCAAGTCTTCGTACATGAGGCCCCTGGTCTTCACTAATAAACCTGTTATGATCCCCCAAAGAGGTGCCATAGCCCCCATTCTCCACATACAAACGCTTAAAACAGTTGTGATCTCCCAACGAAACTACAGATTGTTGGGCGGTGCTTTTTAGATTTCAGCGGGTTTTAGGCTGGAAACAGTCAGCTACATCTGGCAACACTGGTTCTTAGAAGTAAACAAACAGCTGGGGTCAGCTAATGTGTGATTTTGCGGCCGCGAATACATCATTACATGAAGACAGAAATGACAATTTTGGGTGAATTATACCTTATAAATACAGTATGTGACACCTTCAACGCTTAACTTTTAACGTCAACGTTGCTGTGAAGACTTGTGCGACTGCATTGCTTCTCTCTTGATCTTAAAAATATAATTGGCTGAATTGTAGAAAAAGCTGAATTAAGATTGTGTGTACGGTTGAATCGAGATCATGATCTTTTTTTTCGATTAATCGTGCAGCCTTACTTAGAAGTATGGTTTTGTCGCCCACCAAATTAATTTAACAGCCGCGTATTAACATGTCTCCATAGTAATGCGTATAATCATATCAACAAGACAGGACATGTGCAAAGCAACTGGGATTAAAAGATCTGTTCAGCACTCTGTGATCATCAATTATCATCAAATGTGATCAAGAATAAGTTTTAAAAGTTTAAAACGTTTTTAAAACAGTGTATGTTTGTATGGAATTACAGCGATTTTACCATCTGCACTTTATCACCACAGCCGCATATCAGTAAAATTCTAAAAGAAGATGCTTCAATCCCGGTTTGTGGATGTTAAATCAGGTTTATTTTGTACATTAGCATAACAGATATCCATACAGCAGTGGATATTAACCTGTATCCTGTCACATTTGTCGTGCAAAAACAGTCCAAATTTAAATGTGCACCATGTGTGTGTATGTGTCTACGTGAACTTTGTAATGGAATTGAGTGTAACTTATCGTTGCAGAAATGCTTAAATAACTCCAAAACAAATACATCAAATAATCATTGGGAAAGCTCTTACAGTAGAATTTCTCACAAACTTTACGTGAGATCTGCTTCCTTTATGTCTGTCACTGTGCTGTTTATTTGAAGCAGCCTGAGTGGGAACGGTCGGTGGGGAGAACTTGCAATAAAAGCACAGGCAATAGAAACAGCTACAATGTGTTCAGAGCAGAAAATTCCCATATTCTGAAAGGTATAATAAATAACTTGTTTTGAGCTTAAACTTTACAGACACATTCTGGAGACACAAAAGACTTATATTAAATCTTGAAAAAGGGGTAAAATAGGGGCCCTTAAAGTTAAAATTATAATTAGTTTAATTAATCAGTAAATCATGAACAACTGGAAAAGTTTTGTGAATATTTTGGTTTAAATGTAGAAACCTTGAACAACATCCAGTTCAGCATTTGAACGTTTTGATTTCTGCCTTTAATCCTACAATATTGTTGTGGTCAACTGGGCCTTTGAATAAAAATGAGAAGAACCACTAGTGTATGGCCAATTAACAGACTGCAAAAAGGTAATAATAAAAGAAACAAACTCAAAATAAATACTTGAGCCTTTTCATTGTTAAAACCCTTTATAAAATTACTTTTATTTCTTAATTAACACACTGATACAAGTTTGGAGAAAAAAGAAACCTTTTATATTTAATGTACAAGGAAGAAACGTTTTATTACTACTTTTAGTGACGTTTGTTGGTTTTGAAATGATTTCTCTGCTCCCCAAAGACATGCAGATTTTCACCTCAATTATGGTTTCTCCATTTGTTTTCCTGTCAGGGCATAGTTCAGAACATCTCCAAATTTGGTATAACAAAAAGGCAGCTTAGTGAGCAGATGATGCTTGAGATAAAATAATAATCTTTAAAAATATTCAGATTCATCTAAAAAATGGATTTATATTAAGTATTTATGTGTCAAATAAATGAAATAACCTCTAATGAAAGCTTTATGTTAACTCTGAAGTCAAGTTTAGACAAGTAGCATCTAACTTGAAGTCTGAATCTCAGAATTTACGATATAAATCTTTGACCTACGTGACTCTGTACATGAATAGCACCATACCAACAACCCATTAGATCTCCCGTAGACCAGTTCCTCTGGGACATACCCACATAAAATCCCCAGCAACGGCGAGAAGCTGGCCTGAAACTCTGTTTTGAGTTGTCTGAAAGGCAGGTGCTTTCCCACACAGAGTGAGGTCATTCTGTGGAAGATTCCGCATGATGACCTCAGTGCATTAACTTGCACAGGGGACCCATAAAATCCAGAGGCTGTCCTCCAGGCAGCAGGGAGGAACATGTTAATAAAGCCCAGGATCGGTAGCATGAGCCATCTGTAGGTTGTTGACTGGACTCTGTCAAAGCACTTTCTATATCGGAATTTCTATCCATTATTACAATCACATCTAACTGTAAGTTTCCTAACCCTGATCTCACCTCAGTCTGGAATCATACTGAAAAGTGCTTTAAAGTCTGTGTGAACCGGAAACTAAGACTTTAATTTCAGTATGTTGATGTACTTCCAACTGAAACAGAATACTGAGTAGGGGTGGATTAACTTGCATGGATTAATTGTTAACCTAAAAAATAACAATGTGCACATCTTTGTACATTTTGATTATACAAACTTTAAGGTGTCAATATATTGCTAAATAAAATTAAAAAGGTAGGTGACATCATCAAATAAAAACAGGCTAAAATTGAGTTTAAAACATCTTTACAAAGTAAACTTTCTAGAAAAGTACTCTATGGAAGATAAACATATTCTGAACTGTCTGAAAAAGGCTCCAACTTCTTTCATTTCTCCAGTCTTCTATATTTAAAGAGAAAAAAAAAGACAATTCTGTTATAATTTACTCACCCTCTACTTATTCCAAACTTGTTTTACTTTTTTTTTTATTGAACACAAAATAACTATTTTGAAAACTACTGGAAGACATTCTTACCGTTTTTCAGATGTTCTTTTGTGTTCAACACATAATGAAACTCATTAAGATTTTAAACCACTTGATGGTGAATAATCAAATATATATAACATTTAGACACACACACTGGCCACTTTATTAGGTACACCTGTCTGACTACTTGTTAACGCAAATTTCTAATTAGCCAATCACATGGCAGCAACTCAATGCATTTAGGCATGTATACATGGTCAAGACGATCTGCTGCAGTTCAAACAGAGCATCAGAATGGGGAAGAAAGGTGATTTAAGTGACTTTGAATGTGGCATGGTTGTTGGTGCCAGACAGGCTGGTTTGAGTATTTCAGAAACTGCTGATCTACTGGGATTTTCATGCACTACCATTTCCAGGTTTTACAGCGAATGGTCTGAAAAAGAGAAATATCTAGTAAGAGGCAGCTATGTGGGCACAAATGCCTTGTTGATGCCAGAGGTCAGAGGAGAATGACCAGACTGGTTCAAGCTGATAGAAAGGCAACAAAAACTAAAGAAGAGCATCTCTGAACAAGTCCAACCTTGAGGTGGATGGGCTACGGCAGCAGAAGACCACACCGGGTGCCACTCCTGTCAACTAAGAACAGAAGACTGAGGCTACAATTCACACAGGCTCATCAAAATTGGACAATAGAAGATTGGAAAAAAGTTGCCTGTTCTAAAGAGTCTCCATTTATGCAGTGATATTCAAATGGTAAGGTAAGAATTTGGTGTCAACAATAAAAGTATGGATCCATCCTGCCTTGTATCAACAGCTTAGGCTGGTGGTGGTTGTCTAATGGCGTGAGAGAGATGTGGTGGAACGGGAGATTTGCATCAAGAATCCGACATATATGCAGCAACTATGTGATGCGATCATGTCAACATGGACCAAAATCTCTGAGGAAAATTTCCAGTCCCTTGGTAAATCTAAGCCACTAAGGATTATGGCAGTTATAAAGGCAAAAGGGGTCTAACCCGGTACTAGTAAGGTGTACCTAATAAAGTGGCCAGTGAGATATATATGTGTGTGTATATAAATAAATATATAAATATATATATATATATATATATATATATATATATATATATATATATATATATAAAACAGTAAAACACTATCAATTATTTTGTATAAAATAGTTCATTATAATAAAACCACAAATCACCATTTGAACATTTTCTGAAAGATCATGTCACTCTAAATAACTATAATAATAATCAAGAGTGATAATGCATAAAATAGCTTTGATTTATAAGAATAGATTTTGATATGAAACTATACATTCAATGTTTCTAAATATGTGTGAATATTGTAATACTATTTAGTTTTTACTGTATTTTTGATCAGGTAAGTGCAGACTTGGTGAACAGAACACTTTTATTTTTAAGACTTACAAAATAATAGTACTCTATGTCTGCCAAACTTTTGACCAGTAGTGTGTATAATCAGATACAGTCTTAACTGTTGAATTTTTTGCTACTAGAGTAAAGTGCACACATTACATTTTCATCTTTGTGTTGCGGGTGGCATAGAAATGTTTGCTAACTCTGCTGCCCATGTATTTCAAATGTACTTTTACCACTAAATGAAAAAAAGGTTTACTGTGTGAGTATATTGTGGCCTTTGTATTCCATTTCTAGCAAGTAAAAGAAAAACTCAAGGAAGTTTTTTTTTTTTTCAGTATTTGCTAATTATTATTAAGAAGACAAAATCCAGCAGTGTTTCACTAGCTGAGTGCAATCTTCCCAGCTCCTCCTTTAGGATTCGGTGCTAAGAAAACAATCCCAGTGGAACGCTTGAAAAGAAAAATGGCCCGAGGAGAGGAGAGAGAGCAAAGTACAATGATGTGTGTGTGTGTGTGTGTACAGAGAGAGAAAAGAAGAGGGAGCTCTGTGGCTATTAGTGGCACAGTTCAGAAGCAAAGTGAGAAGGACGTTTGAGGGTCTTTCTCTCCCTGGGACATAAGCCTACTTTTCAACATTTACCATAATTATTCATTTTCTTGTAGTCCCTCAACGTTCCCTCAATCAGCAGGTTTCCTTTCCCCACCATCCTCCGCCCTTAGCCTCTTCTACGTTTGATTTACTTTCTGCTGGTTTGTTCATCATTTTTCTTTTCGATACATAATTTGCTCTCTCTTTTACACTCCATCTCAAAGGCATTTTCAAAGCAGACCACACTGAGTGGTTAAATAAGTCACTGTTTCCCTGTAAATCAAAACCATACGCTCTTACTTAAAAATCTGGTGTTTCTGATACATTCTTCGCACACAAGTGAAACTCGACTAACAAAAGTTGCGTGTTTTTCTAGCTTTATTGGCATTTTCCCTTTCCATCTCTCATTTTTATACAGTATCCATTTTTACCTGACACTCTCAATTCAACTTTGGTGTCAAGTGCAATGAGTCTCCAGGAAGTTATTAGGTTTCACTATGTTTAAGTTGTGTACGTGTTATTTCTTTACACACCAATACTGGTTAACCCAATGGGGTCTTCTGTCCTTTTTGAAACATTACGCAGATTACCATCAGTCATTGTCAGTCAGGTAGACCTTTTAAACCCTTATTCACTTGTCAAGTTGAAAATTCCAAGTATCATACATTAATATGAAGTGCAAAGCAAGATGACATCACCGAACACTGCCCTTCATCCGACAAAAGCTTTCTCCCTGACAAGATTTAAGGGTTCCATGCATTGGCAAACTCTTGACAATTGACCGTGATTTGCCCTGCAAATCCATCTGCCAAATTTGAAATACAAAAAGATAAGCTGGTTCAGTGCAGACTCCTGCGTGACCTATTTTGGGTGCTCCAAAAATAAGAGTAAAACGAGAGCATTATATGATAAAGAGACAGATGAAGGCTTCATTATGAGTCTATCACAATAATGTTTTAGTTGGCTCGCAGCTCGAGCAGACAAGCACAGCATGTCAATGCAGTGTGAATACGACTTGATTGATGGGACGTTAGATGTTATAAGTAACAGCTGTACTCGCTACAGATAGTTTTGACAGAAAAGAAAACAGAAATGTCAATACGATTCTGTATTATTTGCAGCGCGAGGGCAGAATCGATATAAAGTTGTCGGGAAAGTGGCGAAATGGGGCAGGAAGAACGCGAGCCATGTAATCCATCGATCTGAGCTGTTTATCAGTATGATAGCGTTTAATCTGAATATATTAATATCTATAAGCAATCCTGCGCGCGCGCGTTTGTTTACGATAAAAAGTGTCGCTGCGTTTTCATGCGCGAGGGCCTAACAGATGAATGTCCCGTTTCAGATTACATTTTTATTAAGCAACGGGAGCAGTAGGCTACACTGTGCCGTAAAACTCGTCTGAGATCTGAGAAAACAATATCAACCACAGCTTGACGGAATGAAAAACATGACTTACCCGAAGCTGCGAAGAGGTCGTATCGCAAGAAAAAGAGCAGCTAATTTACAAGTGTGCGCAACGAGCTGAAACGATAAATGGAGGGATGTTGCGTGTCCATTGCGCGAAGCGAAGGACCCATGAAGATGAATATTGTGCAACACCACACGATACACACGTCCCCCCTTCTTCTCTTCGCCCCCCTGTTTCTATCCGTCTCTTGCGCAGTTGTTTTACATCAAAAGCATGGTCGTACATTGTGTACCCAGATAGCCACAACCCAAGTTCACCGATGAGGGGAGACGGAGGAGAGGAATGACCATGCTGTATATATGTTCGGTTACTGAGCTGATGCCTGCAACTTGAGCTAAATTTACCCACCAATAACAGGAGAAAGGAGAAATGTAAACAGACGCGCGCGTTTATCACCCTAGCGGATGCTGTTTTGGCGATACTATCACCAAAGCAATGATAATCAATACAATCTAGCATCTATATGTGTGTGTGTTAGAATATGATCCTGAAGAATCTAACCCGAGATGGCCGACTTTGAAATGATGAGCAATGATGTAATTGAATTGTGGGCCAGCCTGCGTCGTTAGATTGAAAGATTAAATTATTAATTGTAATGTTTTTTTTTTCTTCTAATATTTCATATTTTATTTATCGCAATAAAATAAGCCTACATTTTAAACGTAGGCTTTAAAAACGTGTGCTCATAGGTCTGGGTTTAAATGACTTAGGCGGTCTATTGCCAACACCTTTTTTATTATTAGTCCTTTACTTGCATTACGTTATTACAACATGAAAGATAACACTAATCGGAAGCAACTGCGCACTTACAGCGAGTGACCTATAGGTGGTGGTACAAACATAGCCAAGCACAGCAGGCCTATATCTACTAACTTAACTGATATTGACAGAAACTTTGTGTTATGTAATGTATATACCGCACCGGCTATCTGTTATGTGGAATACAGAACAATTAAAATGATCTAAAAATATCTGAATTTTGACAGAGAATGTAAAAAATGTTAACTAAATTAAAGTAGGCTATCCATAGATGCTTATTTAATAGCCATGTTGGGTCAAAGTTATGTTCAGGGTTATATGACTTCATAATATGGCTATAATCTACAGTGGGTTACACCACAGTTGTCCTTATATGAATTATTTCCCCCTTTTGGTTAATTAAACAATAATTTATTTGGTTAAATGAAAATTAACGGTCATCAACCCAAACATATTTAATATCAACTCAATTTATTAAAATGTTTTTGAGCTATTTCTATATAAGTATTAATAATTTCAAAACACAATTTCATGCCTTTGAAGATAAAATGAAAATAATTACAGCATTTTACATTTTTCTAATGTCATCATGTCAAAGGTAAAATAAATCCATTATTAGAAATAAGTTTTTAAAACTATTATGCTTAGAATTTAACGGAAATTGGTAAAAAGAATAAACAGGGGCGCTAATAATTCAGGGGGGCTAATAATTCTGACTTCAACTGTGTGTGTTTGTGTGTGTGTGTGTATATATATATATATATATATATATATATATATATATATATATATATATATATATTGAGATATGGAGCTTCAAAGTTTTGCATTCCATAGCAAACAGTATGTGTGTAAAATTTTTATTTAAAATTTTTATTTAAATAAAAAGTCTTATAACTTATATAAAAAGCATACCATATTGTAAATAAATTACATTTAATATGAATATGTCAATAACTCAGATATAACCTTATAATTCTATGGTGACGATATATATATATATTCTCTCAGTTCCCTCAGTTTGGATAATTAGGCTGGCTTGTCAAAGCCAGACTACTGAAATGCTATTTAAACTTATTAGGCTGGCTTGTCAAAGCCAGACTACTGAAATGCTATTTAAACTTATTATTATTTTTTTTATTTTTTTTTTTATTAATCTTCTGAGACTAAATTTCTAACTCTATCTCCTCCTAGAGCTTTTGAGCTATTACCACCAAACTTGCTCCAGACCTCCAAACTATTCTGACTCGTGTTGCTATATCTCCTCAAACTGATCCGACTTTTGGTTTTCCGAAAAACGTCCCGGGACTGTCGGAAAAATCCCATAGGCTTAACATTGGATCAAACTTTGTGAGCTCATAACTCTGCGTCAGACTGTCGCACAGACTTCTAACTGGGCTCATTTAACTCAGACTATCAAACTGCCAATGACTGATCACCTTTAAACTTTCTAGCCACGCCCTAGCAACCACTTTTGGACCCTAGTAACTGTCCCATAGACTTTTATTCAAAAGACTCTCATTGACTTAACATGGGATCAAACTTTATGAGCTCATAACTCTGCATCAGACTGTCTTACAGACTAATGGCTGAGCTCATTTAACTCCGACTACCAAACTGCCAATAACTGATGAGCTTTTAACTTTCTAGCCACTCCCCTAACTACCACATACTGCACCCTAGCAACTGTCCCGTAGACTTCCATTCAAAAGACTCTCATTGACTTAACATGGGATCAAACTTTGTGAGCTCATAACTCTACATCAGACTGTCATACAGACTAATGGCTGAGCTCATTTAACTCAGACTACCAAACTGCCAATAACTGATGAGCTTTTAACTTTCTAGCCACACCCCTAACTACCACATACTGCACCCTAGCAACTGTCCCGTAGACTTCCATTACAAAAAACTCTCATTGACTTAACATGGGATCAAACTTTGTGAGCTCATAACTCTGCATCAGACTGTCATAGAGACTAATGGCTGAGCTCATTTAACTCAGTCTAGCCAGCAGCCAATCACTGATGGCCTTTTAACTTTCTAGCCACACCCCTAACTACCACATACTGCACCCTAGCAACTGTCCTATAGAATGTAATTAGGTGTGCTATCGAATGCTTATAATTCTAACATGCTAATGACATGCCAATCATGCTAGCAACATGCTACTCATATGCTAATCATGCTAATGACATGCTAACTCATACTGGAAACATGCTAATGACATGCTAATTTGTACAAGAATCATGCTAGTAACATGCTAATTCATACTAGACTCATGTTAATAACTGGCCTACATGCATATCTTTGCTTAGCAGTGTCCTATTGACTTGGGGGATGGCTCATCTGACTCAGACAACCAATGAGCATCTCAATATGATAATGAAGCTCACAAGCCACGCCCCCAAATTGATTCCATAGACTTCCATTAAAATAGGCCAAGATGCATATTTTTGCATAGCAGTGTCATACAGACATGGGGGTTGGTTCATTTTACTTAGACAGCCAACCACATTCAAGTGCACTCTGTAACCTCGCCCATAGCAACAAAACAGAGTACCCTAGCAACCATTCATCAACAGCTATATCTCAGCATCAGAACATCGTAGAGACTTGGAGATTGGCTCGTTTGACTCATGCTAGCAAACGGAACTTCCTAAATGCTACACATGCTAGCAGTGATTAGCTACATGCTAATATTGACTAGCCAAGTACTGTAACTTGCTAGAAATGCTTACTAAGTATAAATGTTTTATCAAGCATGTATGTAAGGCTTGCCTAGTAACCAACCAGGGTACCCTAGCAACTGCCTAGCAACCACCCAAATTACCCTAGCAACCGCCTAGCAACCACCTAGCAACGGCCTAGTAATGCCTTAGTAAGGGCCTAGCGACCACTCAGGACACCCTAGCAACCGCCTAGCAACGCCTTAGCAACCACTCAGAATACCCTAGCAACCACCTAGCAACACCTTGGCAACCACCTAGCAACCACTTGGGACATCTTAGCAACCGCCTAGCAACACCTTAGCAACCACCTAGCTACCACTCAGAACACCCTAGCAACTACCTAGCAATGCCTTAGCAACCACCTAGCAACCACTTAGGACACCTTAGCAACCACCTAGCAACACCTTAGCAACCACTTGGGCCACCATAGCAACCGTCTAGCAACACCTTAGCAATCACTCAGAACCCCCTAGCAACCACCTAGCAACACCTTAGCAACAACCTAGCAACCACTTAGAACACCCTAGCAACCGCCTAGCAACATCTTAGCAACCACCTAGCAACCACTCAGGACACCATAGTAACCACCTAGCAACACCTTAGCAACCACCTAACAACCTCTCAGAACACCCTAGCAGCCGCCTAGCAACACCTTAGCAAACACCTAGCATCCATTCAGAACACCCTAGCAACCACCTAGCAACCACACAGAACACCCTAGCAACCACCTAGCAAGACCTTAGCAACCACCTAGCAACCAATCAGAGCACCCTAGCAACTGCCTAGCAACAACCTAGCAACCACTCAGAACACCCTAGCAACCGCCTAGCAATGCCTTAGCAACCACCTAGCAACCACTCAGAACACAATAGCAACCACCTAGCAACACCCTAGCAACCGCCTAGCAACATCTTAGCAACCACCTAGTAACCACTCAGGACACCCTAGCAACTGCCTAACAATGACTTAGCAACCACTCAGAATACCCTAGCAACTACTTAAGCATGCTATGTGACATGCTAATTCATACTAGAATCATGCTAGTAACATGCTAATTCATACTACAATCATGCTAATAACATGCTAATTCATACTAGAATCATGCTAATAACATGCTAATTCATACTACAATCATGCTAGTAACATGCTAATGCATGCTAGAATCATGCTAATAACATGCTAATTCACGCTAGAATCATGCTAGTATCATGCTAATTCATACAATAATCATGCTAATAACATGCTAATTCATGCTAGAATCATGCGAGTAACATGCTAATTCATGCTAGAATTATTCTAGTAACATGCTAATTCATACTAGAATCATGCTAATTCATGCTAGAATCATGCTATTAACCTGCTAATTCTTACTAGAATCATGCTAGTAACAGGCTAATTCATACTAGAATCATGCTAGTAAAATGCTAATGCATGCTAGAATCATGCTAGTAACATGCTAATTCATGCCAGAATCATACTAGTAACATGCTAATTTATGCTAGAATCACGCTAGTAGCATGCTAATTCATACTAGAATCATGCTAGTAGCATGCTAAATCATACTAGAATCATGCTAGTGACATGCTAATTTATTCTGGAATCATGCTAGTAACATGCTAATTCATGCTAAAAGCATGCTAATAACATGCTAATTTATATTAGAATCATGCTAATAAAATGCAAATTTGTACTACACTCATGCTAATAACATGCTAATCGATGCTAGAATCATGCTAATTCATGCTAGAATCATGCTAATAACATGCTACTTATACTTTTTCAAACTGTTTTTAAACTAAATAAACTATTACCAACAGGCTTTGTCAA